ATTATATTGCCAACAGGTTTTAAAGAAGTAAGTAAATGCATAAAAATAACAGAAGTATATACAATTTCTACATTCTTATTGAATCAGTCATCCTGTTTTCTTAAAGAATATCCTAAAAAAATTTAATATAGATAAAATTTTTAAAAGAGTTTGAAAGGTTTCAGATTTTACATTACGCCCCAAGGGGCGTTTTTTTAACGTTTTGTGAGTTACCTTTATTTATTAAATATCATGTTCTTCGCACTTAAACCATAACATTCAGTTCAACAGCGATACCGCAAAATGATTTTAAAATAAGCATATCTTTAGAATTTCCGGTACACAGACTCGCGCGCTGGAGATATGTTTTTCGTACACTGTTGCCATTCCTCGCTTTGAAATCGTTGAGTTTCTTAATCAAGAATTCTTTAATGTCTGACAAAATATGAAATAGATAATAAAGCCAATTCAAGATTCCAAATTTGGGCTTCCAGATCTCTTTATTCGCTGGAGGATTACGTTATTCACAACTGGATGGTTTAGGTACCGTTGTTTTATCACAATGCGAGAAACATGCATGCATTTATGTAGATTCTTCATTATTTAGTTTCTTTAAATATAATACAAGGCTGCATTAGTTGGTTACAACAGCTTGAAAAGTGAATCAACGCAGAAAGTGAATCGACGCAAAATGCCAAAATAAAATTAATAGCCTTTCTGTACTAACTCCCTATGGGTTAAAAATAAAATGTGAAAGCTTTTAGATTATATATTACTTCCGAAAGGGCGTTTTTTCATTTGCAGGCACATACTCGTTTCGTCGGCATTTGGGATAACGCCACTTTCAGCTAAAAATATTTAAAAACAACACATCTTTATAATTTCCGGTAGACAATCTCGTTCGTTGGAGATAAATTGCTTTTCCCTACACTGTAGCCACTTCGCTTTGAAATTGTTAGTCCAAAGGGATTTGAATCCCGAAGGACTATTAGTTTCGTTTTGGCATTTTGCGTCGGACTCATAAATGTCGGTTCACTTTTCAAACTGTTGCCACAAAATGTTAGAGTCCTGCATTATATTTGAAGAAATTAAATAATGAAAAATCTGCATAAATGTATGTATATTTCTCGTATTGTGATAAAACAACGGTACATAGAGTCATCGAATTTTGAATAACGTAATCCTCCAACGAATATGAGCATGTGGAAGACCAAATTTGAAATTTGAAATTTGTTTTATGATCGATTTCCTATTTTTTAAAACTTTGACGAATTTTTGATTAACAAACTCGAGGATTTCAAAGCGAGCAAAGGCAACGTTGTGCAGAAAAAACATTTTTATCTCCAGCGCGAGTCTCTGTATCGGAAATTCTAAAGATATGCTCGTTTTAAAACTATTTTGCGATATTGCTGTTGCACTGGATCTTATGGTTTAAGTGCGAGGAACATGATATTTAATAAAGAAAGGTAACACACAAAATGTTAAAAAACGCCCCTTTGGACGTAATTTAAAATCTGAAACATTTCAGATTTTTTTTTATTGAGTGTTTTAATCAAAAACTCGTTAAGGTTTTATAAAATATGAAATAGACAATAAAACACATTTAAAATTTGAAATTTTGTCTTCTAGGTGCTTAAAATCGGGTGGAGGACTTATGTTATTCAAAATTGGATGACTCTAGGTACCGTTGTTTTTTTTTTACAATGCGAGAAACATACATACATTCACACAGATTATTCATTGTTTAGGGTTCATACCTTGATTAGTTTTATTAAGGGGCTGCTAACTTCTTATAAGCGATTAATTTCTTTAAATGTAATACAGGACGGTAATAACTAGTGGGAACACTTTGAAAGTGTTACATCGTATTTAAATGATTCAATGCAAAATGCTGTTTTGAGACTAATAGGCTTAATGGTCTAATTATTTTGCATTTTTTAATTAAAATATTAAAAATATTTCGCTGAAAAAATCGAATTGCTAAATTTCGTTCAAAAGAAACGTCAACACACGTGAAAAGAGCTTAAATAATGCAATAAAGATGTAACATCATTATCACTTTTATAAACGTAAGCTATAAAACTATTTGGGTATGAAGTATACCAAACAATTTTTATCAGTAAACAAGCCAAAATATTTTGATGTACCGTTATGTAAGAGGGATCTGCATATATAACCTATGAAGCAGACGATCTATCGTGACGAAAACCAAGAAGAAACAAAGCATTGTGAAAATGTAAAACATAACCATTGGGAAAATGAATCATAAATATCACAAGTATTTTTGTTTTTCTTTTCATAAATTTTAATCTTATTTCAAAACATTCTTGTAGAAAAATACTAGCTGCTGTATGGCAGCCTTTATCTGGCTTTTAAATGTACCGCAAAAATGCCTAAAGGGAACAAACACCAAATATTAAATTTAAACACTGCACAGAATTATCGCCCTCATTTTTCCGAGTGGCAACCGTGCTGATATCAGCAACAGTGATATATCAGAAACGATGGCTGCATGCCATTGTTGCTGATATAATGAGAGAGAATTATCGATTTGATGTGATTTCATCAAAAAACCATAAAATTTAAAAAAAAAATCTCATTTAAATTTTGAAAAAAAAAAAAAGTAGCTTCGAAGTGCACTGTTTCTTGTCTAGATGCACCTATATACCAAATTTCGTAACCTTCGGTCTATTAGCTTACGCGCAGCGTGAAAGAAAGACCACACACAGACAGGCTCTTTCTTTTGTACATATAGATAAATAAAAGATTTCCGCAGGCTTCTTTAGAATTCGACAATGTAAAAAAGCTTTTAAATGTATATTAAATGTATAAAATTCATCATAAATTAACCATTTATTCTTCTGTGTACCAGATTTTCATGCGACTGCATATTTTTTCTCATATTGGAATTATATTTTTCAGTTTAAGGCCAAATACATTGCGTCGAATCCAATTATAACGGAAAGCAAGAAAATTCGAGGACTGTTCCACTTTTAATCTGTCAGTCCCAAGAGGGCTTCTTTGGATCCACAAATTTCATGGATCCTCATAGCGCAAACAAATTAAATGATCAAAACCGTTCCTGTATTACCTACATTACCTGTATTACCTGTATACCCGTATCCAGGATTTAAGCCCAATCTCAACCGCTTTCGCACCAACTGTATCGTCTGAGATATCGGACAACGTTTGTAAGTTTAGTGATGCAACTTTTATCGGGATGCATTCTATTATTTTCTGATAGTAAAATTATTTATAAGACATATTCCTAAAACATAATTTTTAAGACACACCAAAAATACTTTAAATAACCTTTTGTTGTTACCTTAATCAAAATTGTAAACATATAATTTTTGGTCTTTAACTGAAAGTTTATTTTTTCATCCAATGTCAGTCTTTTGACATGCATATTCTTGTAATAAATAAAATGTTAATTCAACATGCAAAAATATCTTATGATATCCTTCTACGGCCTATTAAATTCTATACACTTTTTGCTGCACTTCCATTAAACTTATTTTATCAAATTATTCGAAGTTAATTAACTGATCCCTCAAGACAAGCTGAAAATGACATCGAAACCGGAAATTTTGGAATTAAATATCCTGTCACGTTTTGTCATACTAAACTGCTCGTACTTAACTGCTAAACTTCATAAAATACAACAAAATATAAGTAATCTGTAGATCGAAGTTAGATTTCGTTATTTGTCGAAATTTTTTTCTAAATTTGGCATTGCCGAAACATGAATATTTTTGTTATTAAAAAACTGCTGTAATTGGAAGCATATGATTATGACTAACGACTGCGAAAATAAAAGTCCGGGTAAGGACTTTGAAACCAGGTAAGGGGTGGGTATACATGCATGTTTGGTATGGCAGGTTGCAACAAAAAAGGGAGATGCACAACTAGATGTCATAGCAAACTCATATACAAAGTTTCAAGATTTTACGGCTTATCAATTTTGAGTTATGCGAGATACATTCACACGTGCGTACGTACGTAGAGATGTCACGAAACAGCCCTTCTGAATCCATTTTAAATCCACTTTACAATACGTTTTGGAAAAATGTGTCCTTTATTCTGTCGGTACCTACAAAAGCCACACAAAAATAATCGTCCAAAGGGATTCGGAAACTGTCAAAATAAACATATTCGTTGAAGGGAAAGTTTCCGCGATTACAATACTTCCTTTATTTCGTACAAAGAAGCAAAAACTACCAAATGTTTTTATAATCACTTTAATTAAATACTTAAATAGATTTTTTAACCATTCCGAAAAATTAAGCTTAAACATTTACATTTGATTAAAACAACTGAACATCAGTTTTCTAGTAAAGAACCTTTTATCCTATAATACAAAATTAGAAAAAAAAATACAAGAGAATAAAATAATTTTATAGAAATAAAAATGTGTTACTAAAAAAATAACATTAAAATATTTTCCGTCATTGACATCTTAATGGCAATGTGATCCGTTAACAAAACTCAGAAAAAAATATTAACTGATTAAAATTAATCACAAAAATGTTCTTTTTAATAGATCCCGCAAAAAAGTAAATAATTTCGCTCTCTTCAATAATTTTAAATCCCAAAGAAACTATGAAATAATTAAAGTGAAGTATTAAAAACGTGTAAACACATTTCAGATTTCATAACAACTCTGAAATATTCTGCCATTAAAAAAAAATCCAGTATGTTTTTTCTTATATTTTGCATTCACTTTTAGCAAATAATAAAAATGATCAAAGAATAAAATGTAATAAGAATCCAATCAGTGAGGTTTTTATCGGTCAAAGTTTTAATAATTAATTCTCTAATCATATTTAAAGTTGCGTAATTAAATGGCACTGAATTACACTCAGTCATTAACATTTTATATAAGCAGAATACAAATGAATTTTGATAGTGTAAAATAATTCTTACTGTTTTATAATTGTATAAAATAACTCTGATTTTTTGATTCAAACTCACCTCCTTGAAGCTCTCAGATGGGTTATGAATTAATAATTGCAACATACCTCCTTGAAGTAGAATTCCATTTCGATACCACTTCAACTTTGCCGCAGGCTTACTGTGGCGTGCTATACATGTAAGTGCTATCCTTTCTGCTTCCCTGACCTCTAAAGTGCTACCATTTACATGATTTTGAATTTCCAGCTTCTTTGGTGGCACTGCAAAAGAAAAGTAATAGATAAAAGGGAGCCGAAATTTAAAATGTTTTTACATTTTTAATTACTTTATCAATGAGTCTAATACTGTATTCACAGTATTATATCAGAGTATATGTATTCACAGATTTCAATTATTTCCATGAAAACAATTTTTACTAGGTGTTTTATTAGATTTTGTAGACATACTTTTTAATGTAAATTAATGTAAACTTAGATGTTTTTATATAACCAGCCGAACAATATATTTCACAAATATTTCTAAATGATAAAATGTTTAATGGTTCGGAGATATATGTTCAAAATGGCATGTTAGAACCAACAAATAAATGTTAAAAATTATATACATTTTAAAATACATATCTGCATTTATGAGAATTTGAACTAACGACCTTGAACTACCATCCACACACATTTTTCTTCGTGATTAATAATCTCGGTTTCATTTTATTGTTTCAAGAGCAGAAAATTTAAATTTCATGACAAAAGGAAATGCTTAGTAAAAAAATAAATCTAAAAGCTTTCAGATTTTATATAACGCCCAAACAGGCATGTTTTTCATTTACAGACAATATACGTTTCGACAGTATTTGAACTAAAAATATCTATAAACTGCACATCTTTAGAATATCCTATAGACAGTCACGCGGCGCTGGAGATAAAAATGTTTTATTAATTATAGCGTTGCCACTGCTCGTTTTGAAATCGTTGAGTTTTTTAATTAAACGCTCTTTAAAGGCTCTTTAAAGTTTTTAATTAAAATTTCAATTAAAGTTAACTTATTAAAGTTTTTAAAAAAGTGAAAGAGACAATAAGACAAATTTGAAATTCACGATTCGGTCTTCGGTGCGCATATTCGGGTGGAGCACTACGTTACTCAAAATTTGGGGGCTCTAGCTATCGTTATTTTTTCCAGTGCGAGAAACATAAACACATTCATGTAGATTCTTTATTATTTAATTTCTTTAAATGTAATACAGAGCGATAATATTGGGTGACATTAATTTGAAAAGTGATTCGACGCAAAATGCCGTTTCAAGATTAATAGCCCTTCTGGGATAACACTCTTTTGGGCTAAAAGTATAATAAGAGATAATGAAAATAATAAATATAATTTATTTTAACAAGTTTCTCCAACAATTTTTGTTTCAAATTTATAAGCATACAATATACCTTTAACTGCTCAGATAAAAAATCAATAGAATCCCTTTATAAAAACAATAAAGTATAATACTAAGAGAAAAGTAAAAGAAAATTCATTTTCTTTTCGTAAAGGTTATTACCATCTGTTTAGAATGAGTTCTTTATCATTATTCGAGTAAGTAAATCGATGGTTTACTGTAAGAAAAAGTTCAGATTAAAATTTAAGATTAATAGTACCTACAGTAAACTTAAGGTACTAGCATAGCTGACGTTTTGCAGAAAAGGGTACATTACATTATTACAAGCATTGCATCTCCCGAAATTGCCTTTAAAACTGTGCTCACGTATACGGAAATTCACCTAAAACAGAAACCTCCCAGGAAAAATTCTTTCCCAGCTAGATAACAGAGAATGTCTGGCTTCGACTTCAAAGCGAATTTCCTGATTACGTGCTTTGACTGTCGAAGAATCCACCAGCACCAAAAAGCTACCAAATGCTCAACTTCATTTTATCGAAGATGCGCTGATTAGTGTTCAAGTAAATGCGGGTGATGTGTCAGCCTTACGGATGGTTGTGTTATTAAGTCGCGGGATCGTGCTTCCTGATCTTTAGTTGTTGGAGAATACGCGTTATTAATCACTTCAAAGGAACTCCTGTCACTCGGAAGCAGATATGCTTCTCAATCTGTTTTAGAAACGCAGTTGTAAAGTCGTGGAAGATGGTGTATAATCATGATAGCAGAGCGATTCTCAGGGAGAAACTTGATTAATGGATTTCGACATGCCTTTGCTTTGTTCTCGTTCAGCTCACGCAAAGGTATTTTTCAGTCTATATCTTTGGGTGTCATTTCGCGTGAATATTTTGGTTTTTCTTTCTGTCGAGGAAGTAACACAACAGAGGAATGTATGTTAATTGATTTACAAAGTGTGAAAATTAAAGCAGACTGATTACAAATTAGTGTTAAGACCAAAACTACGCCGTTCTTGACAAACACCTATTATAAATTTTACTTCTGGTATGTTTTAATCACACGTGCTCACATATGAAGAAGATTCCAGACATTATTAGGTTTGAATTAACTTATGCTTTTATAACTTATATATAAGTTAAAGCAGTTGTATTTTTTGTAAGTTATAAACGCATAAAATATTTCAAAAGTTGTTTTCTTGTTTTGTTTTTTTGTATAGCAATAAACAAAGAAATTTCTAATTGCTGCGCCGACCACTAGACTGACCCATTACTATCGCTGTACTTCACTGTAATATATATTTTGTATTGATTTATTTAGTTTACTATTTTTAATAGAATTGTTATTAAATTGTTTCATTTACACGTGCAATGCTGCATGCGACTTATCTGAAGAGAAAGCTACGCCTGGGAAAAGTAAAAATACAGGAGCATACGCATTTAATAAATAGATATCTCGCAATTGGACGATTTTGCTTTCGGGAAAAATCGAGAAAATACCACACTATGCTCGTTGTGATTAAAAAGTTTCTAAAAGCCAGAAGAAGAACGTCTCAGCTCAGTTTGTTTAGAAAACTGCTGTTGTTTATTGTAGCAAATTTGCGGTGAAATCAGATTAGCTTTCTTTATTCTAAATTAAGTTCTGTTGAACGTTTGAGTAGTTTAAAAGATAACTACTGTGAGATTTTGCAATATTATACGAATAACTGAGGAAATTTAAACATTTTGTTTTATTCGTTGTGACAACAAATTCACTTCCTACTTTCAGCGCTATGCGGAATTCTTGAAAATTTTCTCCATTGTTATTCATAACTGTTCTGGTACAACAATTCGAAAAGTTTGAGCCTTCGACGATTTTGGTAGTAAATTTTATTCACTTTTCATCGAACTTGTGTATTCACTTTATTACGAACCCGTTCGCAAGCAACACATTTTGGTGTCAGAAGTGGGATAATGAATGCCAATAACAAGAAACATGGTAACAAGAGACATAGTAGGCCGCCAGATTCGGGCACCACAAAATGTTTCAGATCTGGAGCAACAACTGATGAATGCCTGGCATAATGTGTCGCAGGATGACATAAGGAATCTCTACCACTCCTTGCCTCGACGAATTCAAGCATGCACTGCCGCCAGGGATGGTTTGACCAACTACTAATTTGAACTGTCAATGGGTGGTTGTGAGCCGTGAACAGGTACCTTGATTTTTAGATACAAACCTTGATTTTTTAATCATTTTATTACCTGTGTATGAGCTATACACATATTCAATTTCATCAAAACAACCACTTCCTTCATGGTGTATCGATTTTTTTTTTTTTGGAAAAGAATGTACATCAGACGAACATAAATTGGTAGGGTTTATATTTATTTTAACTAACATTTATTTTAAGTTTAAACTATCTTTCCTGTCAAGCCTTACTTTCCCCTGGAATTGCCAATGCCAGAGTATGTAAATTTTAGTAGAACGCGCAAAGTATTCAAATTGTCAGCGGAAGTAATCTGAGTTAAACAGAAGGGAAACGAGTTCGAAAGTGTGCTTTCTTGCTTCACGAGTGTGGAGGTTGCTAGGTAGAAAGTTAAGAACCGCGCGTTTCGGCCTGCGTGCTTGCCTCGGCAGATAGTTGAATCTTTCAACTTAATATTTAGAAGTTTGCTGAAATATCAGCTGTATCTCAGAATGCGGTTAGGTTAGTTACGTTTAGAGAGCCTCGTAGGTAGTAACTTGTTATTATCTCTTTTTAGCTTCTTATTTTTATTTTACCGCCGGGTCGGCATAGTTTCTGAGCGTCAAGATCACGCATCTGTAATTTCTAAAGTTGAATAAAAAGGGATTTAAACGCTCTCAAGACTTTGTGTACTTTCCAGTTCATAGCAGTCACCACTATTGTTGCGTGCAGGTTGGGGCCGCGCACATTACAAATTAATATTCATGTTATGATGCAATGTATAAATAAACGCACTGGACGTTAATCTCATGAATTCAGGTTAAAAATAGAAAGACCACAAAGAATGGATTATCAAAAACTGGGGGAGCGTCTGTGGACAGTTACTGACATACACCTGAAAATACAAATATATTTCTTTCAATAAATATAAATTTCTGATAAAAATACTCATACTTCATTATAAATGTTTCACTAGACACCCCTACTTTACACGAGATTTAAAATTCGAACATAAATTAATCCCATATAATGCAATGTTATTTAGACATTGCTACTTAGAATTGTTATTTAGAATTATGACATTGTTATTTAGAATCATGGCAATATAAAACATGGCAGTTTACGACGAGAAAGATCTCTAAGATCTTATTTTATTTAATTATATCTTTCGTTTATTTCACCAGCAGATGTTACCTATAATTATCAAAGTATAATTAACCCAAATATATATGTATTTGAAATTTACACTCTTATCTGTGACACACTTAGATAATTTACAGACTTTAAGGCCACTCATATACTTCCTTTTGAATTGTTTGAATTTGTTTCCTATTGTCTGACGGATTGTATGTCTGCATGTAGTCAGACATGATGCAAAGACCATATAGTATTCATTAAAAACAAAATTCATGAAGTATATTTTGTGATTATTAATAGCTATAGCTTGTACAGTTTCTTGTGGTTAAATACTTTTAATAGATCTTGTATTAAATGAATCTCAGGTTAGTACAAAACCTTTCCAGAAATCAAACGATCCAAAAAAGATTCACTTATTATCAAAAAAGATTTCCAGCTTTGGTTCTGAAACTAGACTCAACTCGTAATTATAAATCATATCCTTTATGATCCTCCCTTCCTCTAATAACGACAACAAATTCACTTCCTACTTTCAGCGCTATGCGGAATTCTTGAAAATTTTCTCCATTGTTATTCATAACTGTTCT